CTTTGATCTATATCCCCAAAATTGAATTTACATTTAGTATATAGCGGTACACCTATATTCAACTATAAATCTTGTAGACAAATTGAAATGGCTACTGGGGGCTGGCCGAGTGGTGCATTGGTTAGGAGTTGGTTTGGGATGCCAGCTCTGAGCAGCAGGGCCCTGGTTCGGATCCCACATGAGGGCCAGTGACGCTGCACCCTCAACAACTAAGATAGTGAACAACAGCTCCACCTGGAGCTGGGCTGCTGTAAGTCGCCTGCCACAGTGTAGGCTGCAGTGGGGCTGGCCAGCAGCGGGCGTGAGCTTTCGTGAACTGCCGTGAATCACTGTGAGCGGCAGTCCAGAGGCCGGCGAGTGACCGCCTCCCCCGGGAAGAGCACAATGATAATACCAACATGGGCCAGTGAAGCAACGTCCTCCACAACTAGACTGAAGAACAAAAGGACAGCAACTTATCTGTTCCCCTTCCCCAATTCCCCAATGCTGTTCCCATTCCCAATTCCCCAATAAAATCTTTAAAAACAAAAGAGAAATAGTTACTAAGGTAAATAAGAGCTCAAAACTTACCATTACAGATTAAATATTTGAATTATGTAAGTATAATGGTATTCTTTGCAAAAAGCAGTCAAACTTTAGAAGCTAGTAGCAAGTAAATGAAAGCTTGGTACAATCACACTCTTGGACCTGCTCACCTCCATGTGGGCACCTACTAGCCCAGCAGCAAGCTGTGCTCTGACTCCAGAGGAGTGTTCCCTCCCCCTCCTAACTGAGGGACTGCACCCCAGACCCCACAGGAGAATTCCAGCAGGAATTACTGACATTATTCCTTTTCCCCATCCCCAACTAAGCAACACAACTTCAGAATTTCAAGAACTCTCCAATCTAAAATCTCCCCTAACCCAAACCTTTACATCCCACCATACCCACCTTAACTAACTTCCTCTTTGCCAAAGGAACCAGGGCAATCCCTGTGCAGTGAAGCTCTTATCATTGTCCAATGATAGTAACAGTCAAAGGCAGATGCTAAAATATTCTGTAGACCAAACTCAAATTACATTTGGTAACATTGGTCCAGACTTCATGTATATTATTTAGAAATTAATATAATTCTGTGCCACGGTAATTTTCAGCTCAGGGTTATAGTACAATGGAGGTGAACACTTTTTAGGTTATTCTGTAATCTTTATAATATAAAGATAGATTTATTTAATTTTATAAATAAAAAATAAGCACTTTATAGATCTATGGTTAAATGACAAAATGATTTATATAATCAAGACCAAAGTATGTAAAGCACATCCACATGGGACTGATATGAAATAATCTAATACACAGCATGTTTTAAATCTGGATTATATTATAAATATAAACCTATTAGCTCTGTTCTAATGCAAGGCTATTTTCAACATTCAGTAACCTTCTACAACAGTTATTTCCCTGAGTCCTTTACATGAAGCAAATCCAACAATCAAAAACAAAGATTATAAATGAAAGGACTCAGGACACTTACCAAAGAACAGGGAAAGTAAAACAACAAATGAATAGTTCCCACAAAGTGGATAACATGAGAACTTCCAAAAAGACATAAAGTCAGGAGGAAAAACATATACCAATTGGAATCAAGTGATACATAAGCAAAGACATCAAACTTTCCCCCAAATAGTTTTCAATATGCCTGCTAAAACTATTTCCTATATTCAGATAACATTTTTAAATAGCTAACTTTTTTTAACAGGAGTACACACACTTCACTTCTCCAGTCAATAATAAATGCAATCAAAAGCAGTCATTGCCACACCAATCACTCAAACCATAATTCTGATTCATTTTCCACAGAAGTCCCAAGCTTCTGTTATTTATTGTCAAGTCTTCCAGAGTCTTGCTACTACATCGTAGTTCCATTCGCCCTTTCTCATCACCCTTATCCTTTCCTAGAACTCTTGCCCTACTTGTCCTTGGTCTTCAAGCTTTGACACTGCTTTATCCGTAGAATAGCCTCTAAATTATACTACCTACTGTGGTCATGCCTTCAACTCAATGGATTCTTTGTTCACTAGAACACACCATAAAGTGCTGTGTAACATACCAGTAAAATCACTTTTTCACGTATAAATAAAAAACTGGCAGGGAAAGGAGTTGGACTTCACCTTGGAGGTAATGGCAAGAACTAATGGAAGGCCAAAAATATAACATTTTCATATCAGCCCAACTCAAGGAGAAAGTGGCATCATGTACTTTATCCCTAAAGATTATAGTAACTTGTTTTTACAACTTCATGAATTAGTCCACGAGAAAAGCAGTGATTTTGCTGTTAACACAAATACTCGTTCTAAAAATTAATTCAAAGAATAAAGAGAAAAGGCAGTTTTCTAAATAACAATACAAAAGATGAGTAATTATACACAGCAAGATCAAAGCCTTTTAGAGATTATGAAAAAGATACTATTATAGTCATATTCCCAACTGCGTATTTTCAGTTCTTTAGTCAGTCATTATGAAAAGGCAGCAACCCAGCCCTGACATAGTGTGGCCCTGTCTGGCTCTCCCTAGACATACTGAGGAAGGAAGATTCCCAGCTGGGCCCAAATCAATACCATAATATTCTGTGGAGGATGAAGTAACTGACTATTAAAAAAAAAAAAAGATTTTTAATACTGTTTCTAAGCTAAAGCTTCAAAAAGCTAGAGAATTTATCTCTCCATCTCGAGTAAATTTTTGAGAAGTCATAAGACAGGAACAAAAAGTTTTTAAAAGTATTTAAAAGTTTAAAGCAAACAGCTTTACAATAACACCAAGAAAATCCCAGAGCATCCACTCAGCAACTTTTAAAACCTCAAGATGTTATCTTTCCCACATTATTCTCTCCTTTAAACAAGTTAATTTTTTTAAGCTCATTGATGCGACAAAATAGCTTATAACACGTGTTTTTAAAAACTCTCAAAGTTCTCCTGCTTTATTTTCAACTCATTTCAAATTACTCTCCAGCAATTATTTTAAGCTTTTCTGTTTACCATAAAGTCTATAATAAAGAGTGTTGTGGACTGAATTGTGTCCATAAAGATACATTAAAATATTAACCGCTGTACCTGTGAATGTGATTTTATTTGGAAATAGGGTCTTTGCAGATGTAATGAAGATGAGGTCATACTGAAATAGGGTGGGCCCAAAATCCAATTACCAGTGTATGTACAAGGGGGGGGAGGGAGAGAGGGAGAGGGAGAGAAAAACGGGAGAGGGAGAGAGGAAGAGAGACATGGAGAGTTCTGAAGACACAGAGGAGACGCAGGGAAAGAGGCCAAGTAAGGGAGGCAGAGATGAGAGCTATAATGGCACAAACCAAGGAATGCCAAGGACTGCCAGTAACCACCAGAAGCCAGAAGAGGCAAACATGGAAGACTTGTCACTGGAGCCTTTGAAGGGAGCATGGCCCTGTCAACACCTAGATTTTGGACTTGTAGTCTACAAAACTGTGAGAAAATATATTTGTGTTGTTTTAAGCCACTCAGTTTGTGGTAATTTGCTATGGCAGCCCTAGGCAACTACTACAGCGGAGTATGGGTTAATAGCTCTAAACCTAACTTGTATACTTGTATACTGAGGGCTTAGAGACTTACTTCCAAAAAAAAGAGTATGAAAAGGGAAAAACAATGGCTTTATAGTGGAGAAATGTGGCAAGCACATCTTACTTAACCAAGTAATCAAGGTTAACATCACCAGTGATGTCATATTAATATCATGAACCCCTGATAGGACATAAGCGTCTTCATCTTTGTAGTATTCTTCCCAAAAAGTATAGCCGCAGTCAAATCATGAGCAAACATCAGAAAGATTCAATTTGAGAAACATTCTATAAAATGCCTAACCACTCCTCCAAATTGTTAGGGTTATGAAAAACAGGGATACAGTGAGGGAACTGTGACAGATCAGAGGAGATTAAGGAGACATTACTACCAAAAGTAATGTGGTCTCCTGGATAAGAACTAAGAACAAGAGGGCTTCAATGGAAAATTGGTGAAATTCAAACAGTCTAATGTTTAATTTAAAAAAGTAAGCATGTATATACATCAACCCATATATTGCTATAACTGAATAAGTAACTAAATGCGAGAGAAGGGATAACTATATCTTAAAGAATAATTCCAGATATTAAATTCAGATACTTCCTCTTCTAGGAGATGGAGTTTAATCCTTCCCCTCTGACTTGCATTGGAAGAATAGACTATAGTAAGGGGGAAAATAGTTCTATACCGTGGAGAAACCTGGCAAGCCTGGTGTTACTAGTTCCTGAACGTTTTTGAGAATATTCAAGGGATGTGTTTTATTGTTCTGAACTAAGAAATTTTTAAAAAGTGTTTGAATATTTAATAATGTTCAGTATTGTTATTATCAAATGAAATTGTCCCTCTGAGCACATTAGTTTTTCCTTCATTCACTTTTTTAACTCAACTTTCTATTTTCAGTAAGCTGTAGATCCACATGTAATTTTAAGAAATAGTACAGATTCTATCTGTGCACTCTGTTCCCCATGGTAGTATTGTACAAAACTACAGTGCAGTGTCAAAAGCAGGATACTGACACTGATACAAATAGAGAACATTTCTGTCACTACAGTATACCTAATGTTGCTCATTCCCACTTTCCCCTCCCCTTTAACTTTTGGAACCACTGGTCTCCATTTCTGAATTTTGTCATTTCAAGAATGCTGTAAAAATGCAACCACACAGTGTGTAGCCCTTTGGAATTGGGTGTTTTTTTCACTGGAGATGCATCCAGGTTGTTGCATGTATCGATAATTTATTCCTTTTATTGCTGAATAGTATGTTTACAGCAATGGTGGTAGTGGACAGACCACATTTTGCTTAACCATTCGCCCATCTGAAAGACATCTGGGTTGTTTCCTGTCTTTCGGCTATGAACAATAAAAGAATCCTTTGCAAGTTCTCAATCACAACCATTGTCCGAATAGTCATGTCTACACACTAAGAATTTTAGCTCACCTTCCACGCTGTCAGAACAGGAAGTTCCAATGCCAGTGTCACCACTGTCAGAAGCTATACTGTGTCTCCTGATATGGTTATTTCGATGGTTGGATGGAACAGTAGTGGCCTGCCACAATGGTTCATTACCAGGTAACCATGCTGATGAAGAATAATCTGGGCCTATAAAGAAAAATATGCAAAAATTAACACATTTATAATTCCTGTGAGTAGGCAAAACTGAAGAAACCTCATATCTGCATCTAGGTATTTGAACTTTTAAACACATACTGTTGTCTTATTTAAAACGTCAAATCTATCTATCTGGAAATGTCAACACTCTGCTCTGGAATATTTGATAGGTAAGCATATGTGATTCCATACACAGCATTAACTGAGAACAGGGACTCAGGTACAGTCAAACTGAATCATACTGCATAGCAATATAAGTAGAATATGCTCATGGAAGGTCAAAAAAATCTGTGTTTTTTCCTACTATATCCTAACCACTTAAAATTTAAAATTACTTTGCATTATTTTAATTGATTTTATTTCTTTAGTTATCTTTTGATAAAAGTTTAACATCACAGCATCTTCCTGGCTCTTTGTTCAATTTTCCCTTTTGAATTACATTAATTCATTATTTTTTAGCTAATTTATCACTTTTCAAAATTCTCTTGAACTTTATTTTTACTTATGTTGTCCAGTTTATTTAATTCTTATTTGTCTTTTTCTGATTAAAGATCAGTTTACATTTTTGCTCATTTCATTTTTTTATTGTCTATTACAATGCCAATCAAAGTAGATCCATGGGCCAGTGCCAGTCTGTAAACTATCTGTATACCACACTTTTAATACCAGTATTAAAATCAAAATACATAAACAGATTAATAATAAAATAAGACCTGAAGCTATTTTCTACTATATTAATCCCATAATTAAAGATTTAGTTTTAATAAAATATTATGCAACATTAATATTATTTTGAGTTTTTATTGATATATATTTACAAATTAAATTTGTTTGGGTTTATAGATATATGAATTATATAAGTAGCCTTGAAAGCTATATACACTTAAAAACTCGTTTAGAAAATATTGGCCTTAGAGACACTCCTACTAGCTTTGAGGTCTAGAACAACCACTTAAAACTTTGTAGAGTCTAGACCTTTCTCAGAATGGGACTTATCTTAATTCATCTGATTAAACACTCACACATTAAAGCACCAGGTGAAGGTAATCTGTCACCAGGCCTACTCTAACTCTGTCTATATACCAAAATGTTTTCTTCTATCAGCTCCACAGGTAATATCCCATCTAGATGAACTCAAAGTCCTCTCTGAACCATTATCAAAAAGCACACGCAACTAGCCCACTACTTGCTCTCCCAAGTGCAAATCTATTAGTTGGGGAAAAATTATTATTTTTTTTACATATACCCAGCAAATAGCATAAATAGTATGAGAATACATGTAAATAGCAACCAAAAATATGAAAGTGTACAATTTTATTAATAAAAAGAAAAATAACAAATAATAAAGTTTTTAGATTTTTAATTTAAAACATCTATAAAGTTACCTATAATATTAAATATTGATAACTATTTGAAACATTGATGTGAAACATAATACAGGAAATGTTCATATACTTTTGTGAATATATAAATTGATACCCACTTCTGGGTATATATCCAATGATAACAAAATCACTATCTCGAAGAGATATCTGCATTCCCATGATCCCTGAAACATTAGTCACAATAGCCAAGGTATGGAAACAACCTAAAAGTCCATCGACAGATGAATGAATGAAGAACATGTGAGATATATATATAGATATTAAATATTATTCAGATATAGATATATAGATATTGGAATATTATTCATCCCTAAAATAGAAGGAAATCCTGCCATTTTCAATAACATGTATGAACCTGGAGGGCATTATGCTAAGTGAAATAAGCAAGAAAGACAAATACTTCATAGTATAACATATGAGGAATTAAAAAAACAAAAGTTAAATTCATAGTAAAATAGTGGTTTCCTGGGTCTGGGGTGTGGGGGAAATTCCGAGACTGTCAGTATACAAACTTTCAGTTATAAGATGACTAAGTCTGAGAAGCTAATGTAGAATATGATGACTACAGTTAACAACACTGTTTTGTATACTTGCAATTTGCTAGGAGAGTAGAACTTAAGTGTTCTCAGCTTAAAAAAAGGTGTGTGTGTGTGTGTGTGTGTGTGTGTGTATATATATGTATATATATATATACGTGTATATATATATATATATATATATGGTGATAAATGTGTTAAATGTGATGTGTTAATTAACTCTGGTGAGAATCCTTTCACAATGTATATTTATATTAAATCATCACATTTACACTTTAATGTATTATTTTATTCATCTATATCTTAATAAAGCTAAGAGAGAAAAAGAAATAATCCAACATTTGGGGGAATGGAGTTACAGACAAAAGTGTGTCCCTTAAGCAGTATTTCTAATAATAACCAATCACAAATAAACCAAAAGAGACAAGGGAACAGAATTTTGGCCATTTAAATAATGAAAAGATCTAAAAGTATAAAATGCTTATTTGCCCATCTAAATAACAAGACATAAAATTTAATGGGAAATTCACAAATAACCTCAGACTTCATCTTGTCTAGGAATTCTCTGAACTCCTTTTTTACCTGTCTTTATCTTAGCATCCATTACATGAAACTGCAGTTACTGTTCATATATCTGTCCTCCTTTTAGACTATAATAATACTCACTGAGGGCAAAACCATATGTTCCAGATCTTATTCAGTGCTACAGCCAGCACATAATAAAGATTCAAACAAACAAAGAATGCACAGAGCAAATGGAAAGAAATACAACAAAAGACTATAAGCAGTTTTGTCTAGATAGTCGGATTACCGATATCTTTGACCTTTACGCTTTTATTTTTCTGGTAATTATTACTGTTTATTTTGATAATCAGGGGAAAAACTTTATTTTTTTTTAAATGCTTAAGCTACACCACTAATAAACCAAATAATTTACTTATCATTTAAGCACCTCTTAACAATTCCATACCTGTACTAAGTAACTGTTAATGAAAGTCTTGGAGATATTTTTCCTGAAATGGGTATACAACTTTATTTGACCTAAATAATTATGAAGCTTTTTAAAGCTGTAGGAGAGTCTACCGGGGAAACACAGCAACTCACATACTTTGGCAAAAGACCAATATGGCCTTTTTTCCAGGAAGGTATCTTCATCAAAAGAACTCTAGAGGAAGGAAGCAGATATCAAGTCCAACCACATCAGACAAATCACTGGATCAATCAATGGGGAAAACAGATCCTATTCAAAACATCTTACTCTTTTAAATCAATAACATTTTAATTTGTTTATGAGGGTATCACAATGATCTTATTTTTGCTATTTTGCTAAACTTTTCCTTTTAAAGACAGCAAAGCAATTCATTCAGGTTTCTCAAAATGACAACAACATAATAAAATGATAGAATTACCTATATAAGCTGATCTCCTCCAGTCTGAACTCAGATTTGTCTTAACCTTTATATATGCTTCTTTTTTAAAAAAGGCCCAATATATTTTATATGCCTAGAACACTGATAATTAACAAATGTCCTGAATAAAATAATATTCTAATCTTTAATTTAAATTGAATGAATTCAGTCTGAGAATGATGTGTCTTGTCTCTAATTCAAGTCAATCCAGAATCACAAAGCAGTAAGGACTAGCCATGAAATATGCTCACCAGGGGATATAATAAAGAAAATGTTCTCATATAATAGTTATGACTATGCTAATGAAATGGGCACTAGTTAATTTCTAGACATGTGCTATGCACTTAAAAAAAAGACCTCTGACAATAAAGTCTTACCTAGGTCCTATCATATTAAAGCACTTGAATGATTGTGTAAAATCAGTTTCTCTAGAACAAAGACAAAGCATTTCTGAAAGAATAGTAAATAAAGATCCTACGACACCATACATTGGAACTTTTCTACGGAAGACGCGATGTTACATTTTTTTTAATATCAATTTCAATTCTTTCACACAGAATACTGAATGCCCAGAGATAGCTTATTTTAAATATTACTATACCTCACTCTGAAAATACAGGAAGATTAGCATCAAATGAAGAAGTAACCTATTATATTTTATTTTATTTTTGAAGCTTTTTTTAAATTGGAAGCAAAAATGCATACAATATCAAGTCTTCTACAATACTTTTAATATATCTGTAACTGCACTTAGAATAATAAGTAATCTTATTTTTAATGATAATTCTAAGCCAGGAAAAAATAAAAATAAGACCACTGACAAAGCAAATTTACAATTTTACATAAAAAGCTGAATTATACTACAAATCATGAATAAAAATTGCAATGTTTTTCAAAATGCTGGTTACCTATCACCCATTCAGTAGACTGAGACCAACCTTTTTAAATAATATAGCACAGAACAAAACAAAATATCAAAACACATTAGTCTTGGGCCGGCCGAGTGGCACGATGGTTAAGAACTGGCTTGGGACACCAGAGGGCCTCGGTTCGGATCCCACATACGAGGGCCAGTGACACTGCCCGTTACAGCTAAGATGCTGAACAACAGCTCAACCTGGAGCTGGGCTGCCATGAGTCGCCGGCGACGGCTTAGGCTGCAGCCCCTGCTGCAGTGGGTTGCCATGGGCTACCATGTGTAGCCAGCAGCCAGCGTGAGCGGCCCTCAAGCCATGGTGAGCGGCCGTCCAGAAGCCGGCGACTGATCAGCCTCGCCCGGGAAGACAGCAATGATGGTGCCAACTTGGGCCAGTGAAGCAACGTCCTCCACAACTAGACTGAAGAACAAAAACGACAGCAACTTGTCTGTTCCCCTTCCCCCAATTCCCCAGCACTGTTCCCATCCCAATTCCCCCATAAATTTTTTTTTAATAAAAGATTTTTATTGGGGAATTGGGGGAAGGAGAACAGACAAGTTGCTGTCGTTTTGTTCTTCAGTCTAGTTGTGGAGGACGTTGCTTCACTGGCCCAAGTTGGCACCATCATTGCTCTCTTCCCGGGCGAGGCTGATCAGTCGCTGGCTTCTGGACGGCCGCTCACTGCGGCTGCTGGCCACTCACGCAGGCTGCTGGCTACACATGGTAGCCCATGGCAACCCACTG